CGAGGCCCCGCCCTACCACGGCCGCCGCACCCAATGGCGGGCGGGCTCGCGGCGGCTCCGGGGGCGGGGCGCGGGCGCGCAGGTGCAGCAGCGCGCAGGCCGGCCGAGAGGGCGGGGCGCGACGTCGGCCGTGCGGGGTCCCGGCGTCGGCGGCGCGCGCGCTCCCTCCTCTCGGAGAGAGGGCTGTGGTAAAAGCCGTCCGGAAAATGGCCGCCGCCGCCGCTGCCGCGCCGAGCGGAGGAGGAGGAGGAGGCGAGGAGGAGAGACTGTGAGTGGGACCGCCGCGGCTGCGGGCGGGGACCCTTGCCGGGGGGCGGGGGGTAGGGGCGGGACGTGGCGCGGGAGGGGCCCGCGGGGTCGGGCGACACGGCTGGCGGATGGCGTCCCTCCTCTCTCCCCTCCCCCTCCCGCCGCCGCCGGTGACGGCTCCCCCCCTCGGCCCGTCACCCGCACTTGCGGGTGACTGTCCTCGCCGTGGCCTCCCAGGGCCGCTTTCGCCTGGCGCCCCCCTCCCTTCCGTCCGCCTCCGGCGCGCATCCCGGCCCCCGGCCCCGCAGGCGCCCCTGTCGCCGGGTCTTCGCCTGTCGGGGCTGCGCGCGCGTCGTGCCCTTCGCGGGGCTTCGGGCCCGCGGCGACGTCGCGCGCCCGCGGCCCCGGCCTCTCCCTGGATCGCGCTCTCCCCTCTCCCTCCCTCGCGCGCCCCCTCTCCCGTTACTCGGCCCCCCCACCGGCGCGCGTGCGCAGTCCGCCTCCCGTCGGGAGAGTGCGCCACAAGGGCTCCTGCGTTCTCACCCCCGTCTCCAGGCTTTGCCTCCCCCTCCTTCTCGCCCATTCCATGACTTTCTGCCCCCACTGTGAGCTGGTCGGTCCACCATCTCCTTTCCCATCTAGCAAGAACAAGTAGGTGGGAATTATTGTCCACCCACAAAAGGGACTAGACATTGTGTTCCTGGTCCCATAACCCATCATAAAGAGGCGGTTATAGTTCCCTTCAGGAGCCTTGGGTAGGGGACTGTGTGTCCGACAGCACCTGAGGCTCCTTGGTGGGTGCGTGCCCCCAGGGTCTTTGGGGTGCTGTGGCCTCAGAATATGAGCGCCTTCCCATCCTCCCCCCTTCGCCAGGATCGTCCAGTTACATAAGTGGAGTGGGACATAGTATGTAACGGGCTCCCATAGTCCTGGAGCACGCCCTGCTCAAGATCACCAGTACCAGATGAGGCCACTTCATCGCATCGCTCTGGTTCCTGTCAATTGTCCCTGAAAGTTTATTTTCTTTTTGGTTTGGTTGTGACCGAATCACCCAAACTGAAACTCAGGTGACTTTTACGTGGCGTGCCAGTGTTTCTGTGGTTTTGCACTGAAGACGTAAGGTCTTTGTGAAGACTCTAAAAAGATTGCTCTCACAGAGGAGACCGTTTATGACATTGCTAAGTGTGGACCCGAGGGGGAAAAGCTTGCTCTGGATTACCTCTGTGGCGGTCGCTCTGTGTGGATTGGTTATAGCAGAAATGGGCTCCACCACAAAATTGATATTCCTGACTCATGGTCAGGCAGATGTGTGCTTCTGGTTAATTTTCCAGGAACAGGAATGGGCTCTGCAGAGCCATTCACACGGTCTATCTCTCTCCTGTGCGGGATCATACCCCAAATTGTGAGATGGTAGGATCGAATTCAGGGGGTGGTTGGTGATCATGGAACCAAACCTACCAGCATGTGATGCTAAGTGGCTTAGACTTTGTGGGACTCTCACAAGTTTTAGGCATTTTGTTATACTAGAAAAATGAAGCATATTTGGGTCTTGGAAGTAAAACTCAGTTAATAGGCAATTATTACTCTAGAGGAGAAATTTGAGTTTCGTGGCTGGAATTTTTATCTGGATCTCAGTGACTTCAGTTAACAACGAGATTAAGCTGACCTTTTGGGTCTTTTGAAGTATGCTGGATCCTTACAAAAAAAAAAACCAGGGTCTGAATTTTTTAGGTCTTTTGGGAATTTTCATCAGAGATTTGGGGAAATAGGCTTATTTATTGGCATTTTAGGACTTCTACTTCAAATCCCAGTCAGGAAGCCTACAAAACACTTGCTTTTATTTTCTTACCCGGGCATGTCAGAACCTTAAAGGGCACAGTCAATCTAGTAGACATACAGTTTATTAAATAGGTTGCCACAGATCACCCATTTGTGGCATGTCAGCTAGATGGCTGATCAGTGAGGTACATTCTTGTCCACACAAGCCTCACTTGAGGAAGATTCCAAGGTTTGTACGTCTGAACCTGAGACGTGACAAGATGAGGGCTCTGCTTTGTTTCACATCATTGGCAATGCGTTTGCCTCCTCGGGTGCCCCTCCAGTTAGCTGTTTGTCATACCCCTAGCCCTTTAAACAGCACAGCTTCCAGAATATAGTTTCTCTGCAAAGTGCCTGGTGGCATCTGAAGTCTGTGTCCTAATAGTGTGAAGAAACCTTATACACTTTCTTGCTGGTGCTGGCCTGTCACACTGTCTTTTTCTTGTTACAAATTTGCCTCGAATGCTTTAAACCTAGAGTGCCAGGTCTTTATTTCACCTGATAGAGCATGGTGCAGTCAAACCTTTCTCTGACTTTTGTGCTGTTTGTATATTGGGAGGGTTAGAATACAATTTTGCCTTCTGTTTGCAATTTCCAGCCAGAGTCATTGTTTCTCCGCCTGCCCTGCCTATGAGTGGCCAAATCTAGTGGGGTGGGGAGGCAAGCTGTGGACTTTGACAGAAAAACTGGCTAGATGAGTCCGATGTATGTTGCCCCCACCGGAATACTCCTTCCCCCACGTGGAGATGGAATGAGAAGCTCGCTTCTTTAACCTAGAATAAAGAAGAACAGAGGTAAAATTGTTAGTCTCCGTCGCTAATGTACCTGCCTGGGACTGTTTGCATGATAAATGATGTGTCCAGGAACCTGTAATCGTTTAGAAAGTTGAATATCAGTGGAAATCTTTTAGTTAGCTAAGAGCAGTTTGTCTCCAGGCTGCCTGTGTTATCTATGAGGAGGAGAGAATTACAGAAAATATTTGACATTTGTAGTAACTGGTGTTTTAAGCGCACAGGGGGACAAACATAGTCCTAGACTGGTGGTAAGTTCCAGGGAGGATGGCAGGACACCTGCTGGTTTTCACTGCCCTCTGCACTGGTGACATGCGTGCAGACCAGCCTCGTGTGGTTGCCGGCAGACACAACCTTCTTTCTTGGGTAGAGCATTATTGCTGCTCCCACGGAACGACCTTGTCCTTGGTGCTTCTGTACCAGTCCTCTCCAGTCAAACTGCTGTTGTCACCACTGTGCCTTTAACTCATTTTGAGTAGGACAGATGTGAACGGGTTCCTCTTCCTTGGGCTCACTTACACAAAAGTTGTGCTCTTCTGCCTTTACCTGCTCTCTTCTGCCTTTCTCTTGCAAGAAACCTTTCCCTATTGAAAGCTTGATTTGCATGCCATTGCTTAAATACTTGGTTCCACTACTTTGATGGTAGGTGTGGGGAGGAACTGAGTAAGAGTGGAGATTTGGGGGCCGGCAGGGCAGCCCCACGCCCATATCAAAGGGGAGGTGACCATTCTGTTGAGAGAATAAAGCCTTGGCCTTTATAACTTCTTCCAGGCATGCTTCTGTTGGGTCTGCTGGCATAGGGTTTTGTCCTCACCATAGCTGTTTTGCAGTTAACTGCAGAAGTCTGGACTCTTGGGAGCAAGCCTTAGGAGGGGTTCACTTGTCTTCATTGCCTAAGAGCTGTGGGCATTGTCTATATGGACCTGCCAATGACTGCTTTATTGGGTTTTCACCTAACTGTTCTCGTTTGCTGGCTCTTTCTTTTCCCCATGAAATCTTGAGTTAATCAAAGATCTTAAACTTTCAGAGCTGGAAGGAACCTTGGTCCAGTTCCCTCAGTTTACAAGTAAAAAAAAAATTGCAGCTGTGAGAAGTTGTGTCTTTTCCAGAGCCTCCCAGCCAGGGTACCAGTTTGATTTTTATTATATAGCTAACTGAGTAATACTGTTAGCTTGACTTCTGGGATTTCAAAGCATTTTATGACTTGACTGTTTAAGGGAATTATAAGGCCTCTGCACCTCAGTAGATAATTCTAGGTACCATCCTGGTAGTTATAGAGCTGTAAAAGACTTGGTTGGTGTTGTCCTTCCTCTGGGTTTGAGTACGTAAGTAATTGTGTAAGTAGTCTCTAAGTTGTACACTCTAGGCTTTTTTTAGTCTGAAGATAAAAGTGCTACTCTTGGGCCGGCAAAGTATCAGAGATTAGCTAATATGGGGCAGTTTAGATTTTAACAGGGAAATGATGGTTATCTTAACGGTGAAAAATGTAATGACAAAAGTCCTTTTTTGAACGTGTTTTAAAGAAGAAGATAAACTATCAAACTAATAACTCAGTTTGTTGAATGTTGCACTTTACTGCTCTGAGAGGCTCTGACACAGACTTGTGGATTTGGGAGGATGGCTTTGGCTCTCCCAGGGCGCTTGGTTTCCATTGATGTAGTTTTTTTCCTCTCCGGGTTAAAGCCCCTTTCCGTGAAGTTACAGCAGCTTGTTCCAACTTCAGCTGCTTGAAAAAGAAGGGAGCCTTTGCCTCTGGATTTCACTTGTTCTTTTTGGAGTGACGTTTTGATGTTGCATGTTCTCTTGAACATGTATTCTCTCCCTGAGTATTTCTGTATGGCATAGTGCAAGAAATGCTTACCAGAGATCACCACTAATGGTATGCTTTATGGTGTCACAGTGTCCCTCAGAGGTGACAAGACCTGTGATAGTGCCGATTCTAACCCGCATGAATCTTTCCTTTATTTTAGCAGTGTGTTACGTGCCAGTCATTTTCAGTTTAGCCGTTGTTTCTAGCTAGGTCAGCCAGGAAATAGCATAGTACTTTGTCTATATGTTTATCTTCACAATGTCCACATAGCCCTGGGAAAGAGGTCGTGCAGCACAACGGGGGCTTTCAACTTACGGTTTTCTTTGTTTTAGGCTCCATAAAAATACAGACTCACCAGTTCCTGCTTTGATGTGACATGTGACTCCCCAGAATACATCTTGCTTCTGTAGACCAGCTCCAACAGGATTCCATGGTAGCTGGAATGTTAGGGCTCAGGTAAGTAACCTTCCTTTTTTTTTTTTTAGTATATGTCCTGGTTTGGCCATCTGTTTTTAAAAAAAAAAAAGGAAAAAAACAAGATATACTACTCTTGGACAGTATAAAAGTACCCCAAAGACTGAAGACATAACTGTGCCAAACTGTGCCATATAATAAAAAAAAGTCACTTCCCTGAGCCCTGAAAGGTCAGTTTGGGTAGGGTTACTTGGTAGCCACGGTGTGATCTGGGGGCGGGCGTCAGATTAGAGCCGGAACTGGTGATCTGCAACTTCAGTTCACCTTGAAGCAGGTCAGCTGAGCTGAGAGCGCTTTGACTGAGCTCTTCACCTGCCGCCGCCGCTGCTGTTGCCCAGTGGCCTTCAGCATGGTGCTTTGTTTGCTTTGTTTTGGGGTAAATGACTTCCTGGTCAACGTTAGTGAGAGGTGGTAATGCATTTTCAGACATGGGAACTGGTGTGTGGTCCTCTAGAAGGATGGCCTCCTGGAAGCTGTCAGCATGGGAGAGCCCACAGCTAATGGTACGTGCTTGCCGCGCTCCTCCCACGGGGACTAAAGAGAGCACCCAGACGCACGGCTGGCTCTTGAGACTCTAGAGCAGAATGAATGCCTTTTGAAAAGCTGGAGATCCAGGCCATTCAAGGTCTGATGCTCAGGTGCTCTGTCAGCTGCACTTTTGGCTACTTTGGTGCCATTGTGTAGACTTTAATTTTGTAAAAATGAATGGTTCCTTAATTTCTCAACTGTCAGGCTTAGTATCTCAAGCTTTTTTAAAATCAGTGGTCACTCCACGTTTGGTGTTTTGACACCTGGATTTCAGACATTTCGTGTGGTAAGGCAGAACGTTCTAATTGAATTTTTCCATTTCTTTTCCTAAGAAAAAATGTGTTTACACATAAGCTGCCATTGTGCTTCCAGCTGAGACTCCCAGGTAGCACTTTGTTATGTCTCTCTAGTGGTTTCTGACACCTCAGTCTAAAGCTGTGTGGACATCCGTAACAGATAGCCTCTTTAGGGACTGTTTAGGGACTACATGAGCGGCAGGGTTTGGGCAGAGTAGACCAGAAGGTGTGGAAGGAAGTGAAGAGCATTGCACTGCCTCCAAGTCCCCAATTTGGTTCCACTCCTCATCCTGTGACTCAAATTGTCCTTCCCCTTTACTGCTGTGGGGTGTGCTCTGGGCCCTGCTGACAGGACGTTCTTTGTACACCACGTATTTATGCTGGTGGGAGTTGTGTGGCTGGTGCTTTGTGCATTGTCTCAGAAATTGTGTGGACTAAATGTAATATGGGCAGTGAATGGGTTTCTTCTGGTGGATGCTAGGCCTGGGACGGGGGGCAGTTATGTTTTAACCGTCTTTTTCTCAGATTATGAACAGATTTTATAAAACAGGTAGTAGTGACTCTGCACAGTTTCTTCTAAGAAATGTAGAAAGGAAGAGATATTTTAAAACATATCTATTACTTATGAGTGGGAAAGACACGGCCATTTGACCTTCAAGGAACTTTGAAGGGAATTCTTAAAGGACAGAATCTGTCTTTAGTAGATAAGTGCTTGATATCTTATTACTTTTCTTCATTTCCTTTTTAAGAAATTATAAGAAATAATACGTGCTTTTGTAGAAAATTCAGACAATTTTAAAGTATACCAAGTAAAAAAGTGAAAGCTCCCCATTGCTCTCCGCGCCCAGTACCCAAAGTAACCACTCTTAATAACTTAACTTAGATCCTTCTGAATCTTCTTCTCAGGCTGTACAAATATGTACCTTTTGTATTTTTAACAAAATGAAGATGGTATTATACATATTCTGCATCTGTTCCTGGGATTCATATCTCTGCCTCATTTCTGTTAAATAGCAGCGTGGTCTGGTGCTGATTTACTGTCCTGCATTTTCTCCCTATTGGTTTTCCCAATGGTTCACTATTAAGGATACTACTGGATTGAACTTCCTCGTGTGCCAGTCGCTTTTTGAAGAACGGCAGCCTAGACTTGGAGTTGCTGGTGGATATCACCACATCGCCTTCCAGGATGGCTGTCCCAGTTCCCACCACAGTCTGAGAAAGTGCCACTTCTTGTACCCTCCCAGAACTGGATATCCATCTTTTAAATTTCTGCTCCTTGGGTTATTACTGAGGCCGAACTTCAGTAATCACTGGCCATTTGTATTTGGTCTTTGTGAATTGTCTGTTTGTGTTCTGCCTTCAGTCTTCCATCAGGATATTTCTTTTTAAGTCGATTTGTAAGAACTTGTAATGTGTTAAGGATATTAATTCTTTGTCATCATGCAGATATGTTTTCTACTTTGTCATGTATCTTTTGACTCTGCTTGTCTTTTTGATACATAAAATTTCTGTTATGATTTCTTCTGTTGCTTTTATACTTAGAAAGTCCTTTCCTACTCTTAAGAACGTGTCAGTGTTCATCTATATTTTCTTCCTAAAAAACTTGATGATGTACTATATTCATACACACATATTTGATGCATAAAAAAGAATCTTATAGGTAAGTGGCTTGTTTTCTTTTTCTTTTTTTGAGGCAGATTAGCCCTGAGCTAACTACTGCCAGTCCTCCTCTTTTTGCTGAGGAAGACTGGCCCTGAGCTAACATCCATGCCCATCTTCCTCTACTTTATATGTAGGACGCCTACCACAGCATGGCTTTTTGCCAAGCAGTGCCATGTCCGCACCTGGGATCCGAACTGGCGAACCCCGGGCTGCCGAAGCAGAAGGTGCGCACTTAACTGCTGCACCGCCAGGCCGGCCCATCATATGGTTTTTAAAATACCTGTTTTTGTATTTAATTTTTGGATGAGATGAGGTCTGGAGCCCACTTAGCCAGTTGTGTCGCAGCCATCCTCTAGTCTTCACTTCTCTCATGTGCTGACTTCAAATTAACAAAGCATCTCTTACTTCTTTCTTTCTGAATTTCTTCTTTGTGAGGCTTGATGACAGGCCTATCAGCAGATAATCATTTATTCATTCACCCAGTAAATATTTGAGCCCCTGCTTTGAGTCAGGGGTGGTACTAGGCCCTGCAAGTGCTGCCTTCTCTTTGGGAGCGGGGCTACAGGGCTTGTGATGCCAGCGGCCCGGCTGCAGTGCTCATTCTGGAAGATCCAAGAAAACAGTGGATCTTCACAAAAGTAGGTTTTAGATAAACTAGGAGGCATCCAGAGCGGGTGTGTGTGTATGTCTGTGTGTTTTAAATTCTGACATATAAGTTAGAGCTTTAGAGTAGACTGCAACATAAGCATGGTTTGTTTTCTAACTCATGTAATTGCAGGCTGGTTTTGTCTTGAATTATGATGAGGGCTTTTTGCTGTTGAAACAGTTCTATATTCAGCTAGCTCGGTTGTGATGAAATAAAAGTTGTGTACTGATAAAAATGGTAATTTTCTTCTATGATGACTTTGAGGCTTTTCTGTAACAGCTGATAAAAATAAAGACAAGCTTTTGGCGAGTATATTCTTAGGGGAACAAGTGTAATTTTTTTGCAGCTTGCATCATTTAAATCTAATAAATGCCCTCAAAACTGAAGTGGAATCCTGATTTGGATTGAAATTTTTTTTTTTGAGGAAGATTAGCCCTGAGCTAACTGCTGCTGATCCTCCTCATTTTGCTGAGGAAGACTGGCCCTGAGCTAACATCCGTGCCCATCTTTCTCTACTTTATACGTGGGATGCCTACCACAGCATGGTGTGCCAAGCAGTGCCATGTCTGCACCTGGGATCCAAACCAGTGAACCCCGAATATTTTTACTTAAAGAAGTGATATAAATGATTTATGATTAAGGAAAAGGCTTCTTCTATAAGGCTGGGTTTAAAAAAGGTTTTTTTAATAGGTGTCTAGTACAGAATGAAAAAGATGGTTTAAAAGGTTAAATATGATAAAAGATCTCCTTGCCACCCTGTCCTCAGACACCCATTTCTCTCCCTGGAGGCAGCCATCATTACCAGTTTCTTATTTATGTGTGTGTGTGTAAAGTTTTTAAATTGTGGTAAAATATACATAACATAAAATTTACCATTTTAGCCATTTTTTTATGCTCTTTGGTGAGGAGGATTGACCCTGAGCTAACATCTGTTGCCATTTTTCCTCTTTTTTTTTCTTTTCCTCCCCAAAGCCCCAGTACATAGTTGTATATCCTAGTTGTAAATCCTTCTAGTTCTTTTTTTTGTCGTTTATTTTTTGCTGAGGAAGATTCACCCTGGGCTAACATCTGCTGCCAATCTTCTTCTTCTTCTTCTTTTTTTTTTTTTTTTGGTATGTGGGTTGCCACCACAGCGTGGCCGCTGACAGATGACGAGTGCTGTAGGTTGGCACCCAGGAACCAAACCCAGGCCACTGATGGCAGAGCATGCTAAACTTAACCACTAGACCACTACGGCTGGCTTGGGGCGGTGCTTTCTGTGTGTGTGTGAGGAACATTAGCCCTGAGCTACTATCTATTGCCAATCTTCTTTTTGCTTGAGGAAGATGGTCCCTGAGCTAACGTCCCTGCCAGTCTTCCTCTACTTTGTATATGGGATGCTGCCACAGCATGGCTTGATGAGCAGTGTGTAGGTCCACGCCCAGGATCTGAACCTGTGAACCCTGGGCCACCAAAGCCAAGTGCTCAAACTTAACAACTATGCTACCGGGCTGGCCCCCTTCTAGTTCTTCTTTGTGGGATGCCACCACAGCATGGCTTGATGAGTGGTGTGTAGGTCTGCGCCCAGGATCCAGACCGGAGAACCCCGGGCCACGAAAGCGGAGCATGTGAACGTAAACCACTACACCACCGGTCTGGCATTTTTAAGTATAGAGTTTAGTGACACTAAGTACATTCTCATTGTTGTACAGCCATCACCACTGTGCATCTCCAGAACCCTCTTCATCTTGCAAAACTGAAACTGTCCCCATTAAACCATGACTTCCCATTCATTCCTCCCTCGTCCTCCAGCCCCGGCAATCACACTTCTACTTTCTGTCTGTATGAAATTGACTCTTTTAGCTACCTCA